CAAAATTCTTAAAATCAACGAACACAAGCACAAAAGAGATTCACGTATGAATTCGGAGTTCATTTAACTACCTTATGGAGCTAAAATAGGTTCAACAAAAACCGAATTCCACATACCAGCCTACTTATGAAATCAAATTATGCAATTCAACCAATTCAACAACAACTTGCTCAATAATTGAAAAAAAACTAGTTTGAATCAATTCTCACTCATAAGGGATATTAATATAAACATGAAAAAAAAACCCATAAAGAACACCAACCATTTTTTTAGAATATTTGAAATTAAAACAAACAAACAAACAAAAAAGTAAGAATTGAATTAAAAAAACAAACTTTTACATAGAATTGGAGGAAAAAAAATAAAAATTGACAAATAAAGGTTACCCATTGTTGAAGAAGATGAACAAATTGAGTAAACTGGAGCTGTGATGGAACAGCCTAACCTCTGCCCGGAGCTACTGCCGACCGCTCGCCGGAGATGATGCCCCCGCCGGTTCGTGTCTTCCGGCCGTCCACCGCCGCGCCAGAGATGTCCGCCGGAACCCGCCGTAGCAGCGGCTTGGCCGCTGCTTTATTCTCGTGTGTTTCCCCCCTGCGTTCTTGAGTTGATGTTGCTCCAATTTATAGCAAGAAGGAGTAACTTACCGTTGAGTTACTTCCCGTTGAGAATTGAATGTCGCGAATTTGATGGAGCCGAACGTTGGAGGAGTTATGCGCGCTGCAATCTACGAAGAGGAAGAACAGCTGGCTCTTTGACATCTTTTTTTTCCTTGCGTGAAAGTAAAAGTAAAGTGGAGGGAGGTAAGGTTTTGGGCTGATTCTTTAATGTTTGGTTTGGACTCTGACCCAAAATCTTTCTCTTCTTTCCAAACTTGAACTGCACTTTGACCTGTTGTTATACTTTTCTCCAAAAAATAAGATATCTGATAATTTTGAGTTAGGAAAAATAAAATAAAATAAAATGAAGACAATAATCAAATGTTAAAAAATAATTAAGAACCTACTATTTTTAAAAGAAAATTAAAAGATTGTAAAAATGAGAATTAAAATAAAACTAAGCTAAACTACTAAAAATTAAACTCTAAAAATATTAAAAATACCTAAAATTGAATAAAAAGAACTAACCCAAACCCGACTTATCAAATACCCCCGCACTTAAGACTTGAACGTCCTCGTTCAAAAGACCAAAAAGAGAAACCATTTGAATTTCAATCATCATCAAGAAAAACAAAATGCACTTTACACCCTCACTCCAAAGACTTTATGCCCAAAAAATTTTTTAAAACAAAGTGAGCTACAAATCCTATAAAGATGGAGATCTAAAATATGGATATTTCGGGTTCTAAAAAAATGCTCTAAAGTTGCCACAAAAAAGTTTTTTAAGGGAATCCTACGGTCTAAATGGTTCAATGGCAACGGTAGCAAGATTAAAAAAAAGAAGCCTAAAAGATTAAAAAAAACTTACATTTTTCTTAAAAAAAAACTAAATGTTCCTAAAACTGGTTCTTTTACAAATTTTAATATCAAGCAAAAGTGATTAAAACAGCATCTAGATAATATGAGGATGACCAGTTCTAGAAAATAAAATACTAAGGAAACATAAAAAGATTCAAATGTTAAGGTCATTTTTTACCAAGAAAATGGGCATCAAGACTCAAAGGTGGGGTTGTAAAAGAAACATTTGTCAACTTTCACCAAGAAAAAACAATGAGGTTTTTGGGTCAATTTAGAAACAATGCTCTAAATAAGGAGATATTCAACAAAGAATGACAAAATATTTGGACCCAAAACTTAGAGAAAAAAAACAAATTGCCCAAAAATATACTCCCCAAACAACGGAATAAATATGATAATCTCCCCCACACTTAAATTGTGCATAGTCCTCGATGCATCTATATGGTATGCAAATGGCAATATTAAGCAAGCACGGACTTAGTAAAGCGATAAGGGGAAAGGGGAATGCAACTAAAAAACAAAGTATACGCAGCATCAACTCATCACTTTTCCCTCCTTAAAGTGCTCGATGGACCTAAAATCTGCAAAACATGACTAAGACCAAGTCTTCTAGCTTTGAAGAGAAAAAATCAGATTTAAAGAAATGCAGATTTCAAGCTTCAAGTCAAGTTCCTGAGAACAGATTCTAGCGCTCTTTTGCATTTTCAAAGCAGAATACTGTATATGAGAAGGTTAGTTATGTCAATATGTCATGCACGTGCAAAGCAGCTCATATGCATCTATTAAACATCATAATTCAGCACATATGCATCTGATGAACTCAAAAATCAGATTGAACACTAAGAAAAGATTGCAGATTTTTTCTATTTCAGCACCTATAAGTTGTAAAAAGTGTAAAATTTGCATTTTGCACTCAAAAAATCAGCTTACAAGTCCAAAAATAACTTTCTAAATGCAGAACTTTTCATTAGTATCCAAAAAATCAGTTGTAAACACTGCATATGTCTCAATTTTCAGCTTAAATATGTCCATACAATAGCACCCAAACCTTAAGGAAAATGAAATTTTACAACAGATAAACCATTGGGTACTTGAGACCGCTGATCTGGATCAGAATTTTGCACATTAATAATGTAGATATTTACCATTGAAGCTCAAAAATCAGATTTGAATGGGTAGGTTATTCACTTTTGCAAGCAAAATTATGACTTTATAGTGCAGATTCTCATTGTGCAAACTGTAATATCAGAAACCAAACTTTGAACACTAAAAGGGTAAGGAAACTAAAGCTTAAACCTGGGACACTGAGAGGCTGGAGCTACTGATTTGGATCAGATTTCACACCTGTTTGTGCAGATTTTTACTCCAAAGGACATGCTTCTACCTGTTTGTGCAGATTTTTTCATTTTTTTTGTGTTTTTAACAAAAGCTAAAGATTAATAAGCAATAAAATTAAAGAAAGAGCAAGAAAAGTAGGTGGGTTGCCTCCCATAAGCCGCCCGATTTAACGTCAATAGCAAGACAAAACTTACTACTCGCCAATACATATTCACTCAAGCCATAAAGTAGTAAAGTAAATGTGTTTCTTTAAAACACTCAAAGAAAGTAAAAACAACGGAAGCCAAAATTCAGAACCCAAGTGCAGATTGTAAGCTTCAAATCAGTATTTAGAAACAAAGTTTTCTGCATCAAAACTCAGCATATAAGGGTCAAATTTAGATTGCAAAGACAAGCTAAATACCCTTCAAGTCCGTTCCTATGCATATATTTAACAATTAAAGAACATAATTCAGCAAGTAGGCATCTTAGGATCTCAAATTCAGCATGAAAGCAAGAAAAGATGTTGCAGATTTTTTAATTAAAAAAAACCAGATCAGATTTTATCAGAAATTCAGCTCCTAAAACATCAAAATCAGCATAGAAACATCATGGCATGCTTCAAAATAATATCCCCAAGCAAGATATATCGGTTATAGTTCGTATTTGAAGCAAAGGAGCACTCCAAGGACAAAAACAGCATGAAAACAAAACTAATACTGCAGATTTTGAGAAAAATCAGCAAGTAGAGCTCAAGTTTTTACGAAATTAAGCGCAAATTCATGCATAGTTAGTAGATTCAGGCTGAATATAGAACATACAATGATGCATACAAGTTAAAAATAGTTAGTTCCGACAATAATAATTCACATATATACACACAGAAAGTTAAAAATACAAGTAAAGTTAAAGTATTTACAACATGCTTACAAGAATACATATGCATACGAAACTGATTTTTTTTT